TCATGTTGGTGCTTGGTACAGATGCCTGGATGTATGGGGCATTTGGTCTCATTGTTCAGACGGAAGAGCCCGTGACAGAAGGAAACTACATTTCCTGGGGTCAGCACACCTCAGCTAAGCCCTCTGGTTTTTGCTGCAGTTCTCTGATCAGCAGTGTATGGACTGCGTAAAGAAACAAATAAATTCATATAACTTGTGTCTGTGCCTGCTTCAGGCCTTTCCTAGGCCCAGCAGGTTATCTTGGCCGCCTTCCCGCAGGCAGTTCAAGCTTTTCACGGCTTGTCCTTGATATGAACTGAGTCCAACTGGTCTGCTCCATCCTGGGCTGAGCCCTTTGGGTAATGTGGAGCTAGGGGTATTATGAAGTCCTTAGTAGCCCCTATAAGTACTTGACCTCCTATGGTAAGGCAGCAGTCGGGATTCCATCCAGAGAGCTGGTCCTGGTCCTCAGTTCCTAGTCTTCAGTCTCCATGGAAGAATGCTGTGTGGTACAGTGCCTATGCTTTCCCCCTTTCCTGAGGTTGGTGCAGCCTTATGTAAGGGGTTCCAGGTTGGTTTGGGCCAACCTGGACCTCTGCTTTCCCCGCTCCCCCCCTCTCCCATGTGCCCCACTGCCACCGACAAGAGCTGAGCGCCCCAGACATGCTTATCAGCCCTGGCACCTGTCATTTCCAGGCTCTAGGCAACACTTCCAGTGCCAGCTGCCTGCCCTCTTCTCGGGCTGTGGCCTGTGCCCAAGCAGAGCTGGGGTTCTGACCCTCACTTTAGTTTGGGACTGGAGCCTGGGGAGCATCTGCTGTGTGCTGGCTGCCTATCTAGTAGCGCAGCAGAGCATGTCATTGACGCACGGGTTTGCTGCTTCTCCTCAAGGATCTGCCACCTGGGGGACGTGCCAGCAACCATTGTTCCAGTGAGTATGGGGCTTAGCCTGGCCCCTGCTACAAGGATACATTTATAAACTTTGATGGCCAGTCTCAACCCAGTGCCCCTCACTCCCAACCTCCTGCCCCTCCCTCCCCCGGCCCCCATTTTCCCAGTGTGTGGGGGGTGTGTGCGGCATGAAGTGCCTCAAGCAGCTCCAAGCAGCCTCTTGTAGGCTGGAGCTTGTCTCGGACGGCCAGGGCCAACTCGAGTTACGCTCATACGTCAGGGCGGGCTGGTGAATGGAGAGGCAAACACAACTTATTGGTTGCAAAAACTTTACTCACGCCGCTTGCAATCACGACGCAGGTGGTCCGGTCGTCGGAACAACCACAAGAGTTGCTCCAGCTGGCAGGGCCCAAGCCAGTTAATCCGTCCGCAATTCGAAGCCGGCGGGGAAAGGGGTACGTCGGGGGTGTGCTCGGGGACGGGAAGAAAGATCGATAGGGGATCAGTCTATCGATCGGCAGCCGCAAGTCAGATAACTTCAGAGGCACTCTGCAGCGTGCTCAAAGCTCTTCGACTTGGGCGGAAGTCGCGCGGAATTTTAAACGGCCAGTGAGCCAATTACTAGCCGCCACGTGTGAATAATTTAGCACTGGCCAATAGCGGGGCACAAATTTGCATCCGAATAGCGGGAACTCTTTGCACTGTGCATTTCTGTGCTGCAAAGAAGAAATGCATCCTGCAAAGGAAACTGCAAATTGGCGGGAAGTCTCTCCTATACACGGGTTCTCAATTGCAGCAGAACACTCTGCCGTGCAAAGGAGCTCTCATGTGGCCAGGAAATTCCATAGTGCCGAGGCACAAAAATCACTGGGTTGTGACAGAGCTCTGACAGCCTTCCAGGAAAAAGCTACCTTTTCTCATGGTTTTTCTCCTTTTAAAGGAGAATCCATTTTTAAAGCTTGTTCATAACTCTTTCATATATTATTGCGACCCACTTTTGGGTAACAATCCTTGGGTTGAGAAACACTGCCCTAGTGAATGTTTTATAAAAGAATTATTGATAAATAAGAACTTTTATATATCACAATGGAAGACACCACAAATGCAATGGGAAGATTGGGGTGCTCTTTATGGATTGGGTGTTAGCGAGGAGTACTTCATGGCCTTCCATGTAGCACTGCATAGCTAAATCATCGGCCTTTCATCTTGGGCATTTCCAGGCTCTCTGGAGAACCAAAAGCAGATCCCTTGCCAAAGGAACAAGGATTTTCTCATAAACTGTACTAAAAAAAAAATATGGCTTACGTCGCCTAAAGCATTGCTCAGCAAGAGAAAAGAAAACATTCCAGCTGACTAGTTTAGCAAACAGTATAGTGTAGCAAAGGGGTAGACTTGTATTGCTTAGGTTTTTTCTGTCTCTGAATGTCTGTCCTTTGAGAAAATAATAGATCTAGGAATCCGGGAATATAAAATCGATACCAATCATTCAACTTAATAAAAGTGCAGTGTTTTCCTGAGTAATACTTTTATAGTCATAGACAGATTTCATCCAAATATCATCACTAGGGATCCTGGTTTTCTCTGACTTAAAAAAAACAAAACAAAAACACTCTTATCCCCTCCAAATTCTTTGATTTAAAAAAAAACCAAAAAAAAAAAACCCAAAACCTGCGTTTTTTTCTGTGACTAAAATGAAACGTCACTAATATATGTATATGTGTATCAGTTGGACATGAGGTTTTATTGATATATTTACATTTTAAAGCAATTTAGAAGCCTACCAGTGCCTCAATCATTATAATAAAATACATTCTAAATACTTATGTATTTTGGTATATGACTTTGGTTTTTATATAATGGAAAATCAGAGTTCCCCCTGTCCCGTTCACTTACCTGGATGTGGGGTCCAGCTGTGGTTGCCCATCCCCCACCCCCTGTGCCTCTGGTGCTGATCAGCCCTGATACTCTGGTGCCCTGCTCCTGCCCAACTTCCTCATGCCAAACAGCCTATGCCCTTCCCGCAGTCACTGCTGGTGTTGGTGCCCTTTACTCCTAACCTGATGCCCTCCACCCCCTCAGTGTTTGGGGCAGGGTGTGTGCATGTAGGGCAGGGAATGTGTGGGTATAAGTGATACCATAGGCAATGTGTCAAGTGGAACATGTGGGGGCATATGCCCCCTCCCAGATTTTTGTACCCACATCAGTGCATGGGGCTGCAGCTTGGCTAGACTGGCACCAGGCAAGACCCACCTTTACAGGTGAAAATCCACATTTTTCTGTGGGAAATGGAAAAGCGTGATGCCTGGTCATCATGTTATTTGAATAGTATTCTGCATTCTCAGTTTTTACCGATATTTTTTGGGGGGGGCGTTATTTCCCCTTCCCACTGATAAATTCCCTGTTTTTTTTTTTCTTTGAAGTCATTCAGTTTTTACTGATTTACACGCATTTTTCAGTTCAAATCCCTTGTAACCAGCATGAGTGGGAAATAGCCCATTCCCCACTCGTGCTGGTAACAGGGATTTAACTGAAAAACGGGGGGTGCTGGTAAGCTAAAAGTGCCACTATGCTGGTGACCTGCAGCACAAGTTTCCGGTCAGACATGGGGGGTGGTGGTGGTGGCCACATGGAGGCCAGGGGAGGTTGGCTGGAGCTGCTGCCTGGGGGCATGCGGCTCCCGGCTCTGACCCCGGGCGGGGTGGGAAGGGCCACGGCAATTGCTCCCAGGGCAGGTGGGTCCGAGCTGCACTCTGGCAGCTCTGGCTTCAGCCCTGCCCCGGGCGCTGGGAGTTGCAAGCCCCACCAGGGCAGGGGGCAAGCGGGAGACTCTGGCCCCATTCCCTGCAGCGGGCACTGCACCCAGCTGCTCTGCACGGCCACATGGGGCTGTAGCTGCAGGACTCCCAGCTCTGACTCAAGGTGGGGTGGGAGGTACTGGTGTCCGGGTGGGCTCCCCCTCTTCCCCCACATCTGGCCGCGTGCCACTCCCCACTCCTCCCAAATGCCAGGGCAGTCTGGCAGCAGGCTGCTGCAAGCAGGGGGGAGCATCATGCATACAACCAGGGAAGAAAGGCAGAGTGTGGCACCATGTGCTTCCTGCCACTGATCCAGTGGCACATACCCCCCTGGGAAGAACCCGGCACAGGCCCCCACAGCCCTCCCAGGGGGCGCATAGCAGCAAGAGCCGTGCCTCCATGCCCCGTACCCACTGACAGCTCCCCTGGCTTTGCTCCCTGCTACAGTCCCAGGAGTGGCTGATGGGCTATGCCATGCTCCTCCCCCCTTCCCATCTCTAGTCCCAGCCTTACTCTCTTACTGCCAATTTTTCCCCCTGATTTTAAACTGATTTTTTTTCCTCCCTTTTTCTTCCCTTTATCCTGATTTCATCCTGGTTTTTATATTTCGAAGATCAACCCTGAAAAATTCCCCAATTTTTAAATAAAAACTGAGAATGCGGAACACTACATTTGAATTATAAAAGTCCAGGAAAGGGGGATGCACCAGCACAGACCTGTTTTAAGACTAGCACAGAAGGATGTTGACAAATCTTAGTCTCCATTTTTTACTAGGGCTACTTTTACTAAGTTTGTACAAACAATTAAAAACCAAATCTTGTCCTGGGGCCCTTATATTTATAGTATAAGGTAAAAAGCAATAGACAAGGCGAGCACAAGATGCACATTCCTAACATAGCAATATCTTTTATATAGATATTGAATTGAATAACCCATAAAGTGAGGTTTTAAAATTAATTTAAAGAAATAATCAACATAATGTGAGAATAATACTGCAGCGCTAACTTAGTGTATTTTGTAGAGTGTAGAAGTAAAATATTTATTTAATTGTACTCTTAATCTTAGAAAATGTGACTTTTGCCAATATTCAAAGCAGCCTTGTGTAGGCTTGAAGAGCTTGTGCTCTGGAACTGTCATGGATGTAAAAATTCAGAAGGGTAGTAGGCCTTCTTCAGTCATCACTTTTTTTCATTCGACCCACTCCTTACCGAGGATCTCTGGTACAATAACAGATGGTTCCTCCTGTGTTCCATATTCCCCTATGTGAAGTCATCGAACATATGACATCACATCTAGTTGTTTGGGAATAACTGATGTCACAAATAGAAAATGAAGGTTACACCTAAGGAATAAACTCTAGAAGATGTCGTACTCTTTTCAGGTATGGGTGTGATAATTGAAAATGAAGTGCTCAAATCAAAGAAAGTAATCGCGTCATGTTTTTTTTTTCATTGTGCATTTCATCCTAAAAGCTCTGAAAGTACTAAATGAATCACGAATTATGCCACTGATGCTCAGTCTTTTTTTGGTATGTAATGTGGGAGATAATTTTAACAACTTGTTTGAGGAATTCAGTCCCAATAGCTCAGCTTAGTTATGAAGAATAAAGGAACTTTTAAATTTGTGTATAGTAGAAATGGATGATTTGTACTACATTTTGCACTCCCTAGTGATCTCCGTATGGTTCTGAACTCTTGATTTTTAGGAAGAGACCCATTGCTATCTCCTCTTAAAAGTCCAAAGCATAAATTTAGCCCATGTAATGTGACCTTGATGATCCCTCTAACCTACAGTACATGACAGGGGGATGGGAAAGCAAGCGTGGGATAAACATGCAGGCAGTTCAGGAGGAATTCGAAACTGCTGACAAAGAAGCATGCCCTGCTCTAACTTGAAAGCTTTCAGGGTCAGCTGGATACCATGGTACACATGGACTGTGTGAGAGATTTACCACAGAATTTCTGAAAATAGCAGCCCAGAAAACTGTTTTGTGCTAGAGATGGCCAACTGAATTAAAGCTTATAAGAGAGGCAGTCTGTAATCTGCTGCAGTTTAATTAAAAGAAAATTTTAGTTAAGAAATTGTAACATGGAAAGGGAAGGGTATGTTACTCTGACCTGCTTTTCAAATGTGCTGGGGAAAAAGCTGATAACTTGGAGAGTTATTTTCAGTTGTTTAATTAGTATTATTTGACTCCTTGACACAGGCTAGGTACAGACATTCAAAAAGCCTGAGGTGGAATCGATCTAAGCTTATGTGGTGTTCTGGAAGTGATGTAGTTTAGGTTGGTAGTGAACAGAACACACATTTGCCCTTTGGCTGGGAGGGCAGACAAATCTTAGACCGGTTTTGTTATTTTTAAACCAGTCTGTCTGTCCAACTTCTGTTCTGTTATGTGTATAGACTAGTTTCCAGTTATTTTATACCGGTAAAGCTATAATGTCTGTACCTGGCCAAAAGTGTTTTGTGCAGACAGCTCTGCTGTTCACAACTGCTTGGTAGCGAGTTGTGATGGGGGTGGGGAAAGCTATTTTCTCTTAATAGAATAGGGGTAGGGAACAAATAGCTGTTTTAAAGCAGTATTTTTAGTATTAAATATTGCCTTATGAGAATTTAGTTGTTTAATGTAGGAATTACTATATACATCAGATCAGTGATCCATTTTTCCCCAACAGTAGTAGTATCAAGCGATTCAGACTTAGTTATGGGAAAAACTTCCAGTAGGGAAACTTTCTCTGTAATACTCAATGAGTGATTGATAATACAAATAGGATTGATTAAAAATGTCAAGGACTTGGGCTGCATTTTTGTTCTCAGTTTGTACAGCTTTTAACCTGAGTCCCTGCCCCCAAGAACTTCCAGTCTTAAGTAATGCCTTGAAACATGGGTTATAACCCTTCTGTCTTTTTATATGTATTGCAGTTACAAATATCTGATTGTATTGTTTTGACTTTCGTGATATTTTGTAGCAGTGAGTTCTGCAGGGTAAATTTGCTTTGTTTATATTTTGAAGCACTTTGTTACCATATTTCAATGTCATTGGACCTCCTGCTCTTATAAATAGAAATATCTATTTTTAATTTCTGTGTTCCCTTTAGTATTTCATACAAGTCTGTTGTCCTCTTTGCTATGCTAAATAGCTTTGATCTTTTTATTCTCTTTTTTATGTGGTTGTTTCCTCTCATCTTTGCCCATGGTTTAGATCTCTTCCATTCCTGGTATATTTATTTTGAGATTGGGTAAGCTGAACTTTTGACTGCTTCTGGTCTTTGAAGAGTAGCTTTATTTCAATTGCTTCCATAGGATGCTAAATTTTTCTTTGAGTGGTTATGGTTAATTTAGATCCCATAAATTTGTATTATTAGTTTAGACTGTTTCTTCTGTTCTCCGTTAGGCTTTATGTTGTGCTGCTTACAATCAAATCTTGTCTCCCAATTTGTTTCCCATAGGCCTAACTTTCTCAAGGCATTTTGAAGCTCTTTTCAGTATGCTCTGGTCTCTGCTAATGTAAATCATTTTTCACTATATGCATTTTCTTGATCTTACTTTTTTACTCAAACTTCTCTGAATCTACAGCTAAGGGATTGTATATCTTAATACGGGCACCAACCACTTAGTGCTTTTAATTGGTTCCTGAAAAATGGAGTGTTAAGTGGAATAGTGTCAACTGAAACTGAAAGCTTTTGACTAACCAAGATGGCAACCATGAGCATTATAACGAAACTAGCTGAGCACTAAGTGGAATCAGGTATCCATGTAAAACGAGCATTATAGCAAAATAGTGCTAAGCAAAACAGCGTTAAGTGGGGATTGCCTATATATATCCTTGCAGTACCTCCATGTTAACCTTTTTATCATAATGAAAACCAATAGTTTATTCCTATTGGTTTTTTCTTGTTTAACCGCTTCCTAAACCCATGACAATACTATTATCTTACAGGTGATGAACACAGTTCCTTCAATATAATCTTATGAGAGACTTTTGATGACAGTGTTTCTGAAAGTATACAGTCTTTTATCTGCTTTTTTCTCAACTTGTAAAGAAATCTGTAATTCACCAGTCCTTGGGTGTAACAGCTGAATTACTTCATTTTCAAGTTGTTCTAAAACTCTGGGATATATACCATTCTTCTAGGTGTATTACCACTTACCAAATTTCATATAGCATCTTTTTTTCTGAGAGTCCATTTGATAAGCGTATAGCTTCTATTGCCTAATGAGAGAGACTGAGATAGATAGCTTCCTAATGCCTTTTTTGGTGAATATTGATGTATAAAGCAGTGGTGCCCAACCTCCTGTGGAGCCATGTCATCCCCTCAGGTTCAGACATTTGATGATGGGGGCCAGTGCCACTACTCCCCTGCTGCCAAATTTTCAAGCCCTGTGGATCAGATGGCATAGTCCTGCATTTCAGACAGGGGCAATAGGCATGATCTGGTGTGGGGCCTGATGTGGTGCTTGGAGTTGGGCCTGGAGCAAGGGCCATCTCTGTATGTTGGCTCAGGCTTATGGACCAGATCTGACCCCCACCACTTATTTGCCCATGGGGCTACCAAGTTGGGCACCACTACGTAAATAAATATCTTTGTTCGTTTTCTATTTCTGTCAGACCAGAGCAGCTACCAATTTTCAAAGGGTTTCTGCTTTTGAAATATCATCATTTTGTATTTCTTTCTGTAACTTTAGCTCTTGGCTTTTCAAAATCCCTCTATGGTTCTATTTTGCAGCATTTTTTTTTAAACCTAATATAGATTGTGCCCGTGTATAAGGTTGAGTTTCTGTTTTCTGAAGGATATATGTATATAGGTCTATATCAACATCTATTATAGATATAGATATGGCTTGAAAAATCTGAAGGACTTTTCCTACCTAAAAGTGTTTACCCCTTTATCATGGCTAAATCCCAGGTGTTTTTAATCAATACATTTGCCTATTAATAAATGTGTACAGGAGAAATTTCTCTATGTAATGTATGTATATATCTGTATAAAACACAAATTTAGAAAAGAAATCCCTGCAGTAATTTTTTGATGTAAATCTTGGGTCATAAGTATACAAATAAAATGGGATGTGTAACTACCTTGAATTGCTATAACAAAAGACAGTTGGGTAGCTATTTTGCTAAAAATGGATCAATTATGTTCATCTCCATATGCCTACAATATTTTTTGTTTATGATTTGGGATCTTAAAGAGCTCTTAAGTACTTGGCATTTTAATATGCAATAAAAAACGGTTTTAAGAATAAAAAAAAATCCTTGTTGCATAGTCAAGGAGATCTTAAAACTACTGTTGTGTTGTACTGGATGCCTAATGGATTCTTCTAAAACAGTGGTGCTCAACCTTTGGGCCATAAGACCATTTCATGGGTCTCCCTATGGGTCCAAAAATTTGGTGGTAAGGGAGCAGTGAAAGTGTTAATTGCAGCTCCCCTTGTGCTAAATTTCTGGACTTTTGAGAAACTTCATGGGCCAGGTGATGCAACCCTGCATGCTAGATCATGTCAGCATATAGTGGAGTCAGCATCCAGGGTCACTCTGTGGCCAGATTTAGTGCATAGGATCGGGCTGGTGCATAGGTCAGGCCATGTGGTCTCTCGCGAGCCCACTAGATTTTACCTACACATCAAATCCATCCCATGGACTAACCCACTGGGTCAGAAGGTTGATCATCACGCTTTTAAAGTGATTGCTTAAAGGTTGCTGTTAAAGGCTGTACTTGGGGTTCCTTGTGTTTTTATTCAGTCTTATTTGTTAGGTTTATTAGTTTGGTGACTTATTTTTATTTAGCATATGCTATACATGAGACCTGTCCAAATGGTTAAATTACTGTCTTTAGGACTTGTTAGTGTGGCTTTAGAATGCCAGAATGAACTCTACCACTTCTCACCCCTTTGTCCTCTTGCCCACTGCCTAATTTGGGTTCTTCAGTTACTGTTGATGACTTATCGGAAAGAGGGGAAAAGAAGAATTGATTAGCAGCAACACCCCCAAGTTCTGGAGCCTTGCCAGTGCAGCAGCTCTGACATATGGTTAGAGGTGGGTCATCTGTCCCACAGGAGCAAATCAGTTGGATGCCCCTACTATACATTATTCCAATAAAATGAAAAAATAAGTGCCCAATTCATTGCTGATTTGTGGTAATTTCTGAAAGGTTTATGCAGGTATTTACTTTCTATTCATTCAATTATCTGAAAACATATTGAAATTCATGGATGTATGTGTGTGTTTTATTTTAAGCTTCACAATGAAGATGATCCTTCGGAGTCCTCGACTGTTGAGCAACCATCTACTTCCACAGAGACTGCACAAACTTCTCAAACAGCAGCTTCGTCTGAAGCAGATACTTCTCCTCCACCTTATTCTAGTATAGCTGTAGAAGCAGCTGCAACCTCAGGTATTTTTTCTCTGCTATAAACAGCTTACATCATTTTTAGGTGCCTTTAGGGAAGTGTATATATGCTGTACAGGTACATGCCCCCTACAGAGAAACTTTTGAGAAGTTTCCCAGCACCACAATAGAATTATTGGCAAAAACCAGAGAAGAGGGAGAGTGAAACTTGCCCCAGCATAGGTCGGGATATTTGTCTGACTTGGGGGAGACTCAAGTTCAAGCTCCCACCTTTCCTGATTTAGATCAGGAACTTAAAAACTTGGGTGTTCCATTACCAGGGGGCTGTAGAGCCAGTCTCTCTCTGCTCTGGTTAGTATTTAATTATATATGAATGAAGACAGTCTCCCATTCAGGTCTGTTATGGCCCTGATCCAAATAGAAGACTATTACGCATTGATGTCTTCCTGTACAGAATATTTGTACAATAGGCTCTTTTACTGGGAACTTCTATCACCCCAGAACTCTGTTCCAGGCTAACTGAAGATGGAGAGGAAAGTCAGGTGCTGGACTACACAGACTAAAACTTACATATTCTACCACATAAGTCTATTGGTTCTAAAAAGAAAATTGGCCATATTGAAAGAAATGTTGGAAGAATCTGTTTCGCATAGTTCAACTGAACCTTGTAACAGGATTCCACAGTTGATGAAACCTTATGATCTACATAGCCCTCTATTTAGTTGTTAATGTCCAGAACTTGAAACTTTTCTTTGGGTGCTTTTTTGTATTCCTGATCCTCTTTCAGCTCAAAATGTATATGCAAGTGGAACATTTGCTGTGATGTGTTGACTGAATGTAAATCTTTGTTCTAAAAGTTTTTACCATTTTTCAGTATCCAGGTCAAGCTGTATTGCCTTGAGCTGAAGCTGATAGTAACTTGAAATTGTGACTTGTTCTTGTTTGTAATAAAAAAAGAGTAACACCTCAAACCTTTTCATGATGTCTGCAGACACCGGTAGTTCACGTTTTTATAGCACAAAGATTGAAATTAATGACTCCACAATTTAAATGTCACCAGTCCTGTTTGTGAACGATCCTTTTAAGATTGCTGTAGTACTTGGCCCTTGTCAATATATTTCCAGGATAACCAAACCATGACACTCATTGCTTCTACTTTTATTTCTTTCTCTTTAGCAGAAACACAAAATGAATTTTACCCTGTACCACCTCCATATAGTGTAGCTACCTCTCTTCCTACTTACGATGAAGCAGAGAAAGCTAAAGCTGCAGCAATGGCAGCTGCAGCAGCCGAAGCAGCCCAAAGAGTAAGTGAAATATTTGTTTAAATATCTTCTGGGAAATCTATAATTAAGGTTGATTTAATAGTGTACAGTACTTTAAGATGGTCTCAAATAATTTAGGTGCACATTTTAACTGTTTTTAATTATTTTTGTAATCTCAGTCTCCTAAGTATCTTTTAGAATGAATTAATTTCAATTAGATATGTGGAAAGTACAATAGAAAAGTACCATTTTTTTTTTTTTTAAGTAAAGCTCTGTTTTCTAAACAGCATCAAATGCCACATTTTCTGCTTGGTTTGGCAATATTTCCAGTCCTCTGCCTCTTTTTAGCTAGAGAATCGTAAATTATCTATTCCATTTCCTACACTTAGGCTGATCTTTGAATGGTTACATCCTAAGTGCAGAAACTAAAGTGTGTGTGTGTGTGTGTGTGTGGGGGGGGGGGGGGGGGGGGGGGGGTTGTAGAAGGGAGAGGGAAAGGTGACAACAGAAATAGAGGTTGCAAAATGACATGTTTTGGATTTTTAGAAGGTATAAAGGTTAATGTCTCAATTTTTTGTTCTGTTGAACTTCAACTAAGTTAGGCACTTCATCTATCTAAATTAGCGTTTAAACATCTTTCCCTTTGAGTGCGAGTCTAATTGTCCAGTGTTTTGTCTTATTTTTGACACAGTGAATATATACTATTACTTTCTGATATCGACTGCTCAGAAACAGTCTCTTTTACTTGGCAATTGGAACCTGAAATGGCAATATCACTGATTTCTGCTTCAAGCACCAATAGTGTGATTTTGTTTTTTCTCCTAGGTCCTGGGAGGTAGGATTACTGCTGTTTTATATTGTGGGAGATATTAGTTGGCATGTAGTCTGTATAATAATAACTCAATTCTTTTGCTATGAATCACTGATGAGACCCTGGTTGTATGCAGGTGCTCATAAGCTACATTTAGAATCCTGACCATCTGATTGTACTCACTCATCATGCAAACTAGCTAGTTTTCAATGTGAGATTTATTGATTAATTTCTCCTGCACTCCTGTGCCCATTGTCAGTTATGGGAACAAAATTATACACAAGTGTTGAGGCCCTGACAGATTTTCTAGGGCTTGATGGTTTTACACTTATGAAGGTACATCTGAAGAATTGTTGTACAAATTCAGAATATTTCAGATGTTACTAATAGACTCTAAGGGGTTTATTATTATTATTATAATGATTATATTATTGTAGGTGGAACTAGTAACACTAAAAAACCTAGCTTGTACATGCTCAGTAGTGATTTCTTACTTTTTTTAAGAGGCTAAAAATCTCTGAAAATTCCATTCCTGTTTCGTGAGCTTGAACTTCACAGCTCTTAAAGCTGATTAGACTGCATATGCACCATACACAAAGAACAGGAGAGAGTATACTGTGTCCCATCTGAATTTTCCTTATGATGACTACTGTCAGATATTTTGGGTGGTAGTTGGGACTGAGCACTGGAATGGAAAACAAAAATCAGTTTCTTTTGTGCTCTTGGGATGGAAAAAGGATGTCTGATGTCTCGCGTGCCATCATAAACATTTTTATGGTGGCACAAATGCTGTGCAAATAGACATTGATACCCTTTGTTGCACCACATGAAAGGAAAATCAATGGTGCAACAAAAGGTGATGATAGACTCTGCCACTTTATTGCAGTAGACATCTATTACCTCTGTGGTGGAAGTATACAGGCACCCTGAGCTTGAGGTCAAGTCCCTGGAGCATCTGCCCACATATCCTGCTTACAGAGAGGCACCCTGAAGAATCTTGGGGTATTTGTAGTTCAGTGGGGAAGTTTGGGTTCCCTGCTAAGCCAGATCTGGGGCATGGGTCTGACTAAGTAGAGAGAGCACGGCTTTCAGGGAGGAGGTCTGGCTGGGAAGGGAAAAGCAAGGCTTTTCCTTTCTTAGTCAGACCCATCCCCCAGTGATTACCAGGGACAGGTTTGGCTGAGCAGGGAAAGTGGAGAAACCACATCATCCCTTGTCTCGCATCATGAAGTGTGGGAGAAGGAGCAACTTACATTTTGCCCAGTGAAGCGGATCATAGTGCTGCAATACCTCGTGGCATTGTTTGATCTGTTTCATTTGGTGGTATCTATTTCTAGCCTTGATGCTTTTCTTCCCACTTCTGGCATCTGATCAGCATGAAGCAGAAAGCTGTTTGATTTAAATGGAGATGGGGGAATCAGATCAGTGGGGAAAGGAAAAAACAAATCGAGACAAGGAGTCTGATAATGCATCTTGTGGGATTGTGGGGATGGAGGCAAACTGGAACAGTTTGGACAAAGAGTGCTAGCTCTCTGTCCCAGGCAATGAAGGTTAGGATTGAGAGGCTGAGATCTGGGGACAGGGGAGAAAAGGAGTGAGGGAGTGTTATTTGGGGATTTGGAAAAGAAGACCAATAGACAAGGCTGGGTCTGGGATGAGAAGCCTGTGGAGCTGATGTTAGGAGCGAGGCAAAGAGAATGCAACCAGGGCAAGCAACTTAGGGGCAGTGAGAGAGAAGTGGGACATGTTAACACATGATGAGGCACAAAATAAGTTTGGAAGAAAATAATCAGAAGCTTGTACCTGCTTGAGGACAATCCCCTTCAGAGTCTTGAACAGTTAGAAGACTCTTGTCTCATCATTCCTCAGGTGTCAGCAAAGGATCTGAAATTCATTGGGACCATGCTACCCTTAAGTGCTTGTACATGTAGTAGATGACAGCCTACTACTACTATCATTTACTTCATCTCAGGTGTTTGTACAGTGTATCTAAATGTTCCAGTTCTTCTGATGATCCATGTGGGGGTCAAAAACAGATAATGTTCTAATTTTGTTTCAGTTTTCTTCCTTAAAAATGTACATTATTTTCAGACAGCAGTATCCAGGTTGCATGGTCAAGCACTCAAAAGTTAGTAAGCTCCCAAAAATTTAGTTGGCAGTGCAATATTAATTCAACCCCCTTTATATTTTATTTGCACCATCACATAGCATATTTTCCATAGGACCCCTGCTTCATCCAGACCACAGGATGGATATGTTCTAGGAATGAGTTAGGGTTATGTAGTAAGAGATGTCTGTACACCCCTGCTCTTTTGCTTACTTGGAGGTCTGTAGCAGATAAGCCTGGGGATTGCATTGCACAAAGAAAAAGAAGGGTCTCATGCTTGAAATAGTTGTATTTTGCTGTGGAGAATGGAATCCTGCCTTTGCCTTTCCCAAAGACTTAGGATGTAAGGTTAAGCAAATTGATTAAACTAAACTTTTTCACAGATAGCTCTTAATTCCTCTCTACTTTCTGGATGCCCAGTATGAGACCCTGAGTGCTCCTAAAATCAGTGGGAGTTGTACTGAACATGGCATATAAAGTTTTCAGAGTATTTGGCATCTCAAATGGAAATGGAAAGGAAATTTATCTCCCTCAGTTTTACATCTGTAAAATCTGATGAAATAGGCTGTGTCCTGCAAAAGCTTGCCTCTGTGAACCAGTTAGTTTCTAAGGCACCACCCTACCTTGCCTTTCATCTGTAAAATGGGAATAATTCCACCCACTTCCTGCATAGAAGTGGTAAGAACAAAAATGCATTACTGTTTTTGAAACATTCATACTAAATTTACTTGTGGGCATTTCTATGGTGATCATAACAGTTGTCTTCACAGCAGTACTTGAATAATAGAATCAGAAAAATAGGGTAGGAAGGGACCATAGGAGACCTACTCCAACCCCCTGCTCAAAGCAGGACCATCCCCAACTAGATCACCCTATCCAAAGCTTTGTCTCTCCTGCTCTTAAAAACCTCTAAGCATGGAGATTCCACAACCTGTCTAGGTAACCTGCTCCAGTGCTTTACTACCCTCCTAGAGGGAGGTTTTTTCCTAATAATTTGTGCCGTGAACAAGGGATAGAGCCATGCATTGAACAATGAGAAGGCAATATATTGCTCCTTATGTAGTGAGCCCCACTCATCCAGTATACTGAATGACACAGAGGATTTATGCAAAATAAGTGGGTAATCAGCAATTCAAGATGGCATTATAATTCACATGTGCATAGGGGAGAATTAAGCTTGTGTGAGTAAACTGAATTCCTTTCCTAACTTCTGAGTGCTTGACTTATCAACAATAAAACAATTCTTTTAGTACAGGCTTTGTATGTAATAGTATACTGAATAATTTATTTTCTTTTCATCCCTCTGCCCCCCAGCCCCTTCTCACCAGCGTCTCTGGCTGTATCAGTATACCTGAAAGATTTTCACTGCACTTAGTCTTTAGTAGAAGTAGTATTATATATCCTATTTTTCAATATGCATTTTCCATTTCAAATTCTTAATTAAGTGACTTTTTAAAGCGTTACGTGGAAACAATATTTAAGATCATTTAAATTACTTGTGTTTGTGTAATACAAGGCTTTTGCATAACAGTCGTCTTTAGTTCTTTGTCTTATGTTTTTCTATTTTACATGCTTAGCACGGCCAATTTAGGGAGTCTAGGAGTCTGTTTGATGAAATATTCCTCAGTCCACCAGAGGTATGGTACAGTTCTATCTAGTTTTAGATCTTTTTTGTGAACTTTCCTGCTGCCAAGTAATCACTTAAGATGATTCCCAATGTCCTTTGTGGAATTATCTTTGTATCATTAAAATCTCAGAGTTGTTGTAAAAGGTATGCTATTTGATCATTTATTTGTAATGTTTATATCTTTAATTCTTTTTTCAGGAAATTATAATTTCTGTCAAAAAATAATCTGCAAGCTACCTGAATTGCATAGATCCATAGTACATATTTATCAGTGACTGCTTTCCCAGGCTGAGTACTCGCATTCAAATAATCTGGGAGACTTCTCCCAGGTTTGTTCTCCTGGTAGAAAAACTTAGCCAGAGCTATAACTACAGGCATTCAAGTGCTGAAGGCACTGAAAAGCAGAGACCTTGCAGTGCTGACACTGTGTACACATTGCAGCAATGCTCTGCAGTCACCCTTAGTCTGTCTAGTGACAGATGGCAGCAGTGTATAGG